CACCCAGTAGTCTATTTAAATTATTAATCCATCAAATGGATTAATACACTGATGAGGTTACAGCTCTCATAATCTAATTGTTTCTCCTCTGAACATTCCTGCATTAACAGGGGACATTAAGGATCCAAACCATAACACGGGGCTAGTGGTGGTCCCTTCCCTGTGGGGGTTATTGAAAGGATTAAATGGGGATGCTGAGGAGAACGCCTGCATGCAGATGAGCAGTCCCCACTAGCTCCGGCTTCTCCTATACCCACAGCCTGCTTTCCTCTTGTGTGTGTGTTTTTTTTAATGATCTCTTTTTTAAAAAAATATTTTTAAATTGTCAATGGAGCTTTATTTTATTTATTGATATGCGGTGCTGAGAATCGAACCCAGTGCCACGCACATGCTGGACAAGTGCTCTGCTACTGAGCCACAACCCCAGCCCTCCTCTTGTTTTTGGTAACCGGGCAGCTAACCCAGGAGCACTTTACCTCTGAGCCACATCCCCAACCATTTTTATTTTTTTATTTTGAGACAGGGTCCCACTATGTTGCTTAGGTCCTCCCTAAATTGCTGAGACTGGCCTTGAACTTGTGACCCTCCTGTCTCAGTCTCTCAAGTCACTGGGATTACAGGCATATATCATGGTGCCCAGCCCGCTTTTTTCTTTGGTGTGGCCTTAGCAACAGATTTCACAAGAAAACCATCAGGCGCTTCATCTGCTGAGCCAGGAAGCAGGTTTCCTTCTGGGTAGTGAGCTTTGTGCTGCTGAAGGTATACCAGCAGAACCCTGGGTGTGGGTGAACCAGGCTCCAGGTCACCTGGGGCTCCAGGGACATGCAGAGCCTGTGTGCTGTGTCCCAGGCCCCACATCACACCCTTCTCCCATTCTCACCATTAGTGGGCTTCTAGTCTCTATTTCTTTGCTGTCACATCATGATTTTCTGCCTCGGCAAAGCTCCCATGGCTTGGCTGCCTCTCTGTGCCTTTTGGTGATTGAAATCACCCTGCCAGCTAAGGCCACGGGATACTAGCCTGGGCTTGGACACCTCCCTCATGCCTAACACAAGGATTCCTGCTTCAACCTCAGAAGGAGCCTGGCAGGCACTCCCTTTCTGCAGACCTCTCTGCCTGCCTTGGTGACTACAACCCCCACACTGTGACAAGTCAAGCTTTGACAGATTGTAGAGCAAATTTGTTCAACTCAGGCTGCCTTCTGAGCCAGGACTATCATGGACAGCTGTACAGGTTGAGTACTGCATAACTCCTGTGGGGTGGCAGTCACATTGGCCTTGGTCCTTCTTCCAGGAGTGCATATTGCAGAAAGAAAGGGATTAAGGGGAGGGGATACACATCAGAGCCTTCAGGTGAGAAAAAAATGTCATTTAAAAAAATACAATGTTGGGACATAATTTCCTTTTTGGAAAAGTTAGATCTTAGCTGGGTGCATTGGCACATGCCTGTCATCCCAGTGACTCAGGAGGCTGAGGCAGTAGGATCACAAGTTCAAGACTAACCTGAGCAATTTAACAAGTCCCTAAGTAACTCAGTGAGAGCTTGTCTCAAAAATACATAAAAAAGAGCTGGGGATGTAGCTTAGTGGTAGAGTGGCCCTGGGTTCAATCCCTGGTTAAAAAAAGAAAAAAGAGAAAAATTAGATCCTACATTTTTTATGCAATGCAACTATAGAAAGAAAAGGTAGACAAAAATCTTTCATTTTGATGGAGCCTATGGACAAGACTGTGATTCTCAATGTTGTGCACAACCGAGGCAGGAGGGCAGATGTTAAAAGATGATTAATGAGCTGGGCGCAGTGGTGCATGCCTGTAATCCCAGTAGCTTGGGAGGCTGAGGCAGGAGGATCTTGAGTTCAAAATCAGCCTCAGCAACAGCAAGGTGCTAAGCAACTCAATGAGACTCTGTCTCTAAATAAAATACAAAAACAGAGCTGAGGATGTGGCTCTGTGGCTGAGTGTCCCTGAGTTCAATCCCCAGTACCAAAAAACAAAAAACAATAACAAAACAACAACAACAACAAAAAACAAGGTGATTAAAGAAAAATGTTGAGAAAGCTTGTTGTCCCAAAGACTGGGCAAGCTTTCTGGCTTCCACTTCTGAGTGTCCAGCAGAGGGATAGTACACAGCGGAAGCACTGGACACACTCAGTGAGGGCCCAGTGGATAAAAAGGCAGGAGGCTAGGTCACCCAACAGCACTGTCAGGCTCCAGTGGTCTTCTAGAGCCATGCCAAGAGTAGCGACCATCATAATTGTATTCCACAAAAATTAAGAGTCAAGCCTTTTTTTGCTGGTTTTGGTGATCTGAACATATTAATAGGGACTACCTCTGTCTCTTCACATTGTATTCTTCATTCCTCACAAGGTCCTGGGCATGCAGGATAAATGAATAGGCCCACAACTTCCCTAGTCAATAATTCCCTCCAGCCCGGGTCTGCATTCCACCGTCTGAGAGAGATGATTGGCTTGGGTTGTCGCAGCAAGGAGCCACAGACTGCATAGCTTAAACAACAGAAATTTAATTTCTCACGGAGCTCAAGATTGTCCTTGGCAGGGCTGGCATCTTCTGGGGCCTTTCTCCTTGGCTTGTAGAGGGCCCTCTTCTCCCTGTATCTCACATGGGATTCCCTCTGTGTGGGTCTGTGTCTTCACCATTTGGCTTAGGTGAGGGCCCATTGTAATGACCTCATTTTTATTTAATTACTTCTTTAAAGACTTTATCTCCAAATATAGCTGGAATCTGAGATTTGGGGGTTAGGACTTCAACATGAACTTGATGGGAGACCACAATCAGACCCTAAGAGATGGGCAGCATCCAACCCAGCCTGTGGGGCAGGTGTAGTTGCAGATACTAGAAGTATTACACTGCAAAGATTGTTCCCATACATTTTCCCAAGGGTGTGGTCCAGGCCCACCCAGGTCTTAACTGTCATTGGGTCTCACTGGGACTCCCTTGCCAGTCCTCACCACCTCCTGCCCTGAAGCCTGTTTTGGCCTGCTGGAAGCGCAGACTGTTCCAGGCTGTCACTGGCCCTGTGTTTAGCTGCCTGGATGAGAAAGGTCTGTGGTTGCATTTCTCCTCCCCTGTGTCCTCTCTGAGGCCAGCCAGGGCCCCAAGTGGGCACCATCTCCCTTTGGGCTACAGTAGCTCATAAGGCCCATCTCTCCAAAGGTCAGCTTGCATGTGTCCAAAGCCTCTTTACTATGCAGACAGAATGGTTTCAAGAGGGATTTGGGGGTGTAAATCAGGGCCATGTTCCCAGCAGCCTGCGCAGGTGGCGACCGTGGGTGTTCTGTCTCAGCTAAATGGAAACGCAGCAGTGCCACCCTTCTGTACCACAGAGGGGGGCTGCCAGCCCTGCTAGCTGGTTAGTCACCACCTCAGCAGAGCGCACGGTTCCACATACACCATCTGGGGTGAGGAAGACCGTGTGCGGCCAGAAATAAATGAAAAGCCACCCAATGTCCAGGCCCTCACAAAGATTATTATGGCCTCAGAAAAATGATAACATCAGAGTGAAGGTGAGAAAGATGGGTGTGGGGGTGCACTGCACAGACTGGGAATGACAAATAGAGCAGCACCATGACATGCCCCCGCCAGATTGTTAGCAGGGATTATCTCTTGAGTATGAGCTTATGGGAGGCTTGGATTCTCTTTGTTTATTGCCATGTGTGTCGGTGAATACGTGGTGGCAAGGGCCAGCTCAGGTCTAAGAGGGATTCAAGCAGTCTGGGTTGGCCCAGTGAACTGACACGGCTTGCAGCCAGAGGGCTGTTCTAGTGTTAGCTGTGATAACCTTCTGAAAGTCTATAAAGTCTATAAGAACAATGACAATTGCTATCCTTCGTCTTGGCCTGAAAAGGGGGTAGGTATTTGTCAGATGGTTTGATTTTGGGGGGAGGAGGGTACTGGGGATTGAACTCTGGGGCTCTCAACCACTGAGCCACATCCCCAGCCCTACTTTGTATTTTATTTAGAGACAGAGTCTCACTGAGTTGCTTAGTGCCTCCCTTTTGCTGAGGCTGGCTTTGAACTCACAATCCTCCTGCCTCAGCCTCCCGAGCTGCTGGATTACAGGCATGTGCCACCACCTTCTGATGATGGTTTGATTTTTTTCAGGGGGGAGTATCAGTGATTGAACTCTGGGGCTCTAGACCACTGAGCCATATCCTCAGCCATATTTTGTATTTTACTTAGAGATGGGTCTCATTGTGTTGCTTAGTGCCTCACAGTTGCTGAGGCTGGCTTTGAACTTGCAATTCTCCTGTCTCAGCCTCCCAAGCCTCTGGAATTATAGGTGTGCGCCATGATGGTTTGATTTTAATGCACAGGTAGCACAGGTAGATGTCACCATCTTACAGATGAAGAAATGAGGTTAAATAACCCATCGACGGTTACACAGTGCTAAGAAGTGGTAGAGCCGGGATTTGGCCCCAGCTTTAACCACTCTTGGTGTCCATCCTTGGAAATTCTCTGTGGTCTTGGGAATAGCTGTCCTTCATCTCTCAAACAAGAAGCTGGGAAATCAGAGTGCATTCTGGGTACCTACTGGCATTCCAACAGTTCTTGATGGGTCAACAAACTCTGCAACTTGTTCCTGAATTGATGTGAGATGTTTCCAGGGGCTCTGAGGAATACCTGGGCGTGAGGGTTGGGGTCACTGGTCAGATCCCAGAAAAGAGGTTCAGGATCATCAAAGTAATTCCAGCTGCATCCACAAGGTGGTGCCACCAGCGCAAAGGCCTAGGACAAAGTTGTGGCCCTTCCCCAGGCTGAGGATCAACCTAGAGCCTTGCACACCCTAGGCCCGCACTCTGCCACTGAGCTATGCCTGTTGGCCCCAGTTCCGACTTCTATGGTCATTGTGTGAAACTTGAAAAAAATTTACAAAAATGAGATTGGGGATATACTTCAGTGGTAGAGTGCTGGCCTGGCATGCACGAGGGTCTGGGTTTGATTCCCAGCACTGCTTAAAAAAAAAAAAGAAAGAGAAGAAAAGAAAATTACAAAAATGGCCCATGACTCTCAAAGCAAAACAAACAACAGAGGTGTGTAAAGAAAATATTTAACCATCATCCCCTCGTAATGTTCCCCCTCCATAAAGGAAAGTTGGGTTCAATCTCTTTGTGGTCTTTTCCATGTTCCAGCGAAGTAGGGATGCACACATGGAGGCCTTCAAAAAGAAAAAACAACTCTTTGCTTTATTTGATTTGTTTTTCATGTTATGCCCAGTATTCTGCAACCCACAGCTTTCATTCAGCTGAACACTATGAGCATCCTGACTAATAAACAATTTTCATTATTTGTTGTAGTTGTGTTCTATAAAGTTCCCATGAACACCAAATTAGCAAATACTGAACCATTGTTTTTAGGAGAAATATAGGATAAAGTTTCCATGAGCCCCTGGTGGCAACATTTTTTTCCCCCTAGTACTGGGGATTGAAACGAGGGGTGCTCTGCTACTGAGCTACAACTCCCATCCCTTTTTATTTTTTATTTTAAGACAGGGTTGGGCTGGGGATGTGGCTCAAGCGGTAGCGCACTCACCTGGCATGCATGCGGCCCGGGTTCGATCCTCAGCACCACATACCAAACAAAAATGTTGTGTCCGCCGAAAACTAAAAAATAAATATTTAAAAAAATTCTCTCTCTCTCTAAAAAAAAAAAAAAAAAAAAAAGACAGGGTGTTGCTAAGTTATTGAATTTGCAATCCTCCTGTCTCAGCCTCCTGAGTCCCTGAGATCACAGGTGTGTCCCACCTTACCCTTCATGCTTCTGTTTAAAAACATGTTACTTAATACATATTGTTGATTCACTAGCATTGAACTCATGACTGACAGTTCTGTAACTTCTTCTTGAACAAAGCTTAGATCATCTAACACAAGCATTTGTCTGTCAGGCACATGTTATGGTTTGAATTTTAAATGTCCCCCAAAGGTCATGTGTTGAAGGCTGTTCACCAGCCTTTGTGCTGCTGAGAGTTGTGAAACCTTTAGAGGTGGGACCTAGTGGGAGGAAGTTAGGTCACTAGGGGTGTGTCCTTAACAGGGATATTGAGACTCTACCCCTTGCTCTTTCTCTCTCTTTTGCTTCCCCATGTTATGATTTGAACAGCTTTACTTTACCATATACTCCACAATATTTTGCCTTGCCATGGGCCAAAAGCAATGGAACCAAGTGACCTTAGACTGAACCCTTTGAAGCAGTAAGCCAAAATTAACCTTTCCTCTTTTAACATTAATTGTCTCAGGCATTTTGTCATAGCAACAGAAATCTAACTAACAGCACATCACAGCCACTCTGCACTTAGGAACACTAGGCATACTTCAGCCCTATGCTTGGGGGCCCATCTTCAATAGCAAAATCAACAACAAAAAAAAGCACAAAATGTGAAAAAAAAAGTGGTCTGGAATAGGATGCAAAAAGTACATCTTTTTACAGCTCAAGAGCTGAAATAGAAGGCAGACATCAAAATTGTTCAACCTCTCAGGTTCTTCACCACTCTAGGGCTGAAGATGAGGCTCAGTGGTAGAGCACTTGCCTAGCCTAGGCTGCACAATGTGCTGGATTCAGTTCATAGTGTGCTCGCTCACACACTCAAACACACACACACACACGTTTTATTTGTTTTTTAACCACTCACTGAATGTCTTTAGCTGTGAATGCACTCTAAATATTGATTTTAGAGTCAGAAATAAATGTGAGAGAGTAGGCAAATTCACAGATACCAAATCTGTGAATAATAAACCCTGACTATATGCTGAGTTTTATGGATTTTCTAAAATTTCTTCAGTTAATTTTTTGGGGGGAGGTTGTGTTTTGGTTAAAAAAAAAATACAGAAAAATATTGGTCACTAAAAAAAAAGAAAAGAAAAGAAACAACTGGGAATTTGGGAGAGATGTTGAGCTTCCAATTCCCCGGTTAACTCCATTTTCTGCTCGGGTCCCTTAGGCAGAACTAAAGCGTCAGCATCTTGGCTGGTCTCAGGAGTCAGCCATTGGCATGGGGCATGGCTGGCAAGGGGAAGAGGACACAGCCCTTAAGCTCAAAGGCACCCAGAACGGACACCAGAGGGGAGCAGCGCAGTGTCCTCAGGCTTTTTCACCTGAGGTCAGCTGGCCGTGAGGGAGGTAGAGAAAGCCTTTTCTCTGTTTTGCTCATGAGGGAATGGAGGTTCTCAGAAGGCCCCCGTGTGAGGCCACGTAGCAGTGGAGTGGCCCACTGCTCTGGGTTTGAGCCTTTCAGCTTGAGACTTCATACAAAGGTCCATGGAGCCAGCAGCCTTAGGACTCCTGGTGGCTGAGCCACTGGAAAAGAGCGGATGCCTTTCCCTTCCTGGGTCTGTCTGGAGATCCTGCAGGGGTTCAGGGGCCTCCCAAAGAGCAGCAGACCCTGCAGCATGGCCAAGTGAAGGTCTCTGAGGAGAGGAGTTTGCGTCCTGGCTACACCAGCCCGAGCTGTGCACTCTGAAGCTCATGATACTGCATCTCCCTGGGACTCAGTGTCCTCATCTCTAGAATGGGAAAATAACGACCTTTCAGAGCTCATGAGGTTTAACTGTGATGACATGTGCGCATTCTCTACTCAGAGGAGGCTTTGGTTGTGTGCTCACCTCCCCTCTGAGCTGGACAGTCCAGCAGAGGTCAAGTGATGGCAGGACTGGGCCAGAGGGGCAGCCAAATTGCTTCTTTTCATTTGGCCCAACCTCTTGGATGCTGAGACGGAGCGAGTCCACCTGACATTGGGGAGGGGGAAGGTTAAGGTCCCTCTACCCCTGAGCTGGGGCCACCACAGCCAGGCCAAATCCTGGTTCATCCCAAGGTTTGGGGGACAATGGTGTTGGAACACCTAGGCCAAAGTCACCGGCCCCTGACAGACTAGCAGCCCTACTGCGCCCTGTTATTTTACTGAGGGGAAGACCAATCACTTAGGATTCTTTGGCTATAAGCACCAGAAATCTAATTCAAACCAATTTTGGCACTTATAGCCAAACTGCAGAAAGGGAAGGGACAACAGGAATCTGATCCCATTGGGGTCTTGTGTGACTCTTCTCTCTTCTTTCTACAGATCAGACCACCTTTCTCCAAACCACTGGGCCCAGATGCTCTAACCTAACCTTGCATCCACTCAGCTTTGAGATTTGACTCTTTCCTAAGTAGTTGTAAAAGTTCTAAACTGGGAGCAGTGGCACATGCCTGTAATCCCAATTACTTGGGAGGCCAAGGTGGGAGGATCACAACTTTGAGGCCAGCCTCAGCAACAAAATGAGGCCCTGTCTCAAAATTAAAAGCAAACAAATAACAACAAAAGAAGGGGGATGGGAGTGGAGGGCAGAGATACAACTCAGTGGTGGAGCACCCCTGGGTTCACACCCCAGTACCACATGCACCCACATGTGTACACACACATACACACACACACACACAGTCTAGACAGAGTCTCTGATGAGCACCACTGGGATCACTTGCTACCTTTAGCTGCCTTTCTGGGGCTTAGGTGGGAGCTGTATCTATTTGGGGGCTGCATGTGGAAAGCAGGAGTATGTGTGTTTTGGGGAGGGGGTGTAACAACACAGATGTGGCCCAGGGAGGAATCAAAGTGACTTGAACACACCCCAGCCTCAAGTCTATCAACTATTCTGGAGAGAGAAAATAACTGTTTTTTTTTCCTCCTTCTTTCTTCCTTTCCTTCTATTTTCCTTCTTTGTTTTCTTTCTCTTCCCCCGACCCTTACAATTTTCTCTCTCTTTTTTTCTTGTCTTAGAGATTGAACCCAGGGGCACCCTAGTACTAAACACATCCCCAGACCTTTGAGACAGGGTCTCACTAAGTTACCCAGGCTGGCCTCCAACTTGTGATCCTCCTGCCTCAACCTACCAAATTGTTGGAATCAACTGGGATTACAGGTGTGAGCTATCATGCTGGACTCCGCCTTCTTTCTTGTCTTCTCCTTCTTCTCTGTGTATTTTGGATGAACCCAGGGCCTTGCACATGACAGGCAAGTGCTTGACCACTGAGCCATGCCCCGAGTCCCTAATGTATTATTTTTGAACAGGCAACAAGTTCATAATTCAAAATTTGGAAGCTACAACAGGATTTAAATACAAGGTCCCCCCACCCTGTCATCCCCTCACTGTGTCCCTCTACCTAGAGGTATCACTGGTGTTGATTTCTGGTGCTTCTGGGAAGGGGTAGAGCCTCAGCCCCCCTCAGAAGTTTCAGGGTGGAGGTGAGGCCTGAAGATGACCAAGAGCTAGTGTTTGCTGCTCCCATCTGGCTCTGGGGGTCCCTGGACGATACATAAGATGCCATTCCTGACAAGGACTAGAAGCCTGATGGCTTTTCCAAGTCTTCCCCCGCTGCCCTCACCTGGTGGAGCTCAGGTTCAGATTTACAGGCTCCAGCCTGACCGTGGCCTCCCCTGTGGTCTCTTTGCAGACCATTAAACCCAGGATTGGCATGAAGCTAGATGAACTTGAATGGGTCCTCAGAGACTGCTCTTTGCCAGGTACAGATTGCAGACCCAATCAGGAGCCCCTGAATGAGGACAAACCAAAACAGCTGGATTCCACCAGCCACCAGAGTTGAGGGTTGGGTATTTCCAAGTTGGGAGGTCAGGACAGTCATTTTGGCTCCTTGACCCTTCCTGTGGGGGCTCAATCTTCAGCAAGTTACATGTCCCTGGGTTCCTGCCTCTCAGATACTAGCTACGCTTAATTTTTTTTTTTTCTGACATTTGAGAGCCACTGTGTTTCTTTACAAACATGTGGAGGGGTGGCTAACCTGTCTTCTCTTCCTGTGGATTCCTGGGGTTACAGCCTTCCCCAGAATTACCTCCCCTCAATATGCCTTATCACCCTCTGGGAGCTATATCCTTTGCTTGTTTTTGTTTTGTTTTGTTTTGTTTTTTTTGGTACTGAGGATTGGACTTGGACTTGGCGTACTCTACTACTGAGCTAGATCTCCAGCCTTTTAATTTTTTGTTTTGAGACAGGTTCTCACTAAGTTGCCCAAGCTGGCCTCATACTCAGCCTCCTGAGTGGCTAGGATTACAGGTGTGAACCACCAGGCCCAGCAAATCCTTTGCTTTCTAAGATGCTGCTGGTCCCAGAGATGGATACAGTTCAGGTCCCAGGCCCTAGCATGCAGCCTCTTTTCCCTGGGAGGACAAGT